CAGGTGCACCGAATTTATTTCATTTATCTCGCTGCAACAATCGTGCGGTTAATTGGGTGTTAACAACCGACCGTTTCGAGAGAGAAGTTCGGCTTTCAATTTCCACATGGCTTTTGTCGCCGCCACTTCCTGGTCAATGCTGCTGGAAGGGAGGCGCAGCACCTTTAGTACCAGGAACAAAACTGGTGTCAAAAGTTGTCAAGAGCAGCAGCGAATCGATTTGCGCGGTTGCTCCTTTTTGCCCAAAGAGACGACGACAAATTGAATTTTGATCTGTTTGCGTTGCGAGTTGCGTATGTTTGATCAAAAGCAACAAATATAATATATAAGCAACCAGGAGGAATTTTATTCTAATATAGATGCTCTAGAATTTCTGTTATTTTCTTTTTAATCCTTTATTCTTCTCTGTACCAATTTAAAATGAGAATTGATTAAAATTAAAAAAAAAAAATAATTAAATATAATAGTTCAGTAATACAAAAATTAATAGTTCAATAAAAAATCTTAAAAAAAAAATTGAAAAATACCATCTTCTTGCTAGTGGTGGTGCCATTTTGTCCAAAAATTCATTTCCTTTCAGATAACTTTATTCCTTTAATCGAAAAAATATTGGAAATTAAATAGAAAAATTATTTTACTTTCTGTTTCTAGATAATGGGTGATTTTTAAGTGGACAATTAGGAAATTATATGTGATAAGTAATATTTAATAAAATTGAAATAATTAAAATTTGAGTTTTAAAAATAAAACTTTATTTTTTTTTCTAAAAATAGTTCCGTAATTTTTGATTTTAGATAATTTAGAAAAGCCTCAAATTTAATTAACTTCCAAAATTTATATGAAGGCTTAATTAGTAACTAAATTTGAGCTCATTTATTCCAACGATTGGATTGTACCTAATTTTCACATATATTTAACATATTTGTCAACATAACCCGACTTTTGACTGGCAAGTTTATAGTTATTGATTCTGGATAAATATTAATAACGCAAATTGAATGGACCTGCTTTAAATTCCAATTTTCGAAATTGAGTCACCCCAACGATATGCAAATGCTCTCTCGTCATTCCGAATTTACGAGACAGTCATTGCGGAGCCGCTTGACGAGCTCATTACATTAGCATTCGTTGGCAGGATTACGTGGCGAAAACGATCTGATATCTGGGGGCGGCCGCCGCAAAACGGAGAAAAACTACTACACTGGCCTCTATTGATTAGATCGTTTGTATCGAGCCGGCGTTTCTCATAATATTGCTCAGCTTTTCCTTATCGACTCGCCTGCAGCGGCCATCAATTCGGTCGGTGTTATTATTCCGAGTGATGCTCCCGGCTGCTGCGAGCGAGCGGGATTTGCCGGGGAGGGTGAAAATGCACATGCATCCCCATACACTCGCGCGCATAACGAGGGTGGCCGCATCCCTCGCTTTGTGCACCCACATAATAGACGGAAAAGAGTCTTGCGAGCGAGGAGCGCAAGACGCAGCCCGACTCTCTCAATCTCAAAAATGCGTCCGACCGAACTGGCAGGGGAACAAACACCCTGTTCACATTCCCAAAGTTTTCGTCGGGATTTGGAGGAATCCGCGTTCCGAATGCTGGGCTACTGACTCTGTCCCGAAATAGAGGGAATCAAGTTTCCAATTGTGTGCAGAGAACGGGAAAATTCATGTTTCAAATTCATGTATTTTTTCGCAATTTTTTTAATTTTGTTTGATGGAAGTTAAATTATTTTTATCTGGGAAGGTTTCAGCAAAATTCTTGCTATTTTGTCCATCAATTCCCTTTTTATAACCAAATTGCTGTTGAAAATTTTTTTGGATTGCAACAATTTGATGAAGAAACAACAATAATTTGGAAAAAAATTCAATACAAAAACATTTCTCTTCTAAATATTTACTTGTTTACCCCTTCCCTGTCAGTCAATTTTATATATTTTCTTTTTACTTGGGCCATAAATTTAATGCGATTTTCCGTTCAGTGATTTTTCCGACCACAAACGCAGGTGTTTAAGTGCAATAATATTCCTCCTCCTTTTCTCTACCCTCTCCGTAGCGATAACACTCCTGCTCTCGAGTCATACTTTTTGCTGCAAGGGAGGAACATAAAAAAGCACTGAACATTCCTTAATGTCTAAAATATACATCAGGTAGGACAAGATCGTGGTAGCGTGTTTTATGACGTTCAAGAGAGGAAACCTCCCCGGTAATAAGCGTCGGCTGCAATAATGGCCCCGAAAATTGGCCTCTTAAACTGGCGGGATTTGCCTCAGGTGGCGTTTCGCGACACAAACAACACCTGAAGAATTGAAAAGCGCAAGCGAGGGGCAGCAGCCGACTGGAAAGTTTCCGATGGCCTTTTACGAGCTGCCCAGATTATCTCTTTCGACTGAGGGGCCAGATGGCTGCCGTGTGTTTTGGCTGATTTTCACTTAAGAGTTGCCACGGTCGCCCGTAATTGATTTTTAATGGACACAGGTCCACGCTACTGAGGGTTCAAACCTGTGGAAAAGAGAGGAGGAGTGGAGAGTTGAGAGCAAATCTGCAGCTTGAATATTTTTCATTTTCAAAATTCTGATAGCGCGAAGGTAAGTATTAAATAATTTATATTTTTGCGAACAATTGAATTGTATTGAAGATTGATAAAATTTAATCAATAGTTGATTTTAGAATTTCATAATTTGTTTTCCAACAGAAATTTAAATTTTTTGAAAGAAGTTTTCAATTTTAGAAGTTATATTTCTAAAAAAAAAATTTCAAAAAATTGAATTTTAACAATTTGATTATTACAACTGGCTGAAAAACAAAAAAAATAAAGCATTTTAATTTCAATAAAAACCCACAAAAATATTAATTATGGATTATGACTTACAAATAGGATCAAAATAATTGCAATTAATTTTCTACTTTCAATTTTAAATTTACACTTTTAAGAAAACAGGAATTCTTTGCTTGTTCAGATTTCCATTAGATACAGAAAAAGAATTCACATTTTACAAGAAAAACAATAACTTCTCCTTATCTGTTCATCTCCTTTGTTCCTCTTTTTTTTAATTTCAATATTAATTTTCGCATTCGAGTGTTGAAAACACCGCATATTTGGCAATTAGAATTGGAGATCGATTTGCGTGTGTTCAAAAGTGACACGATAATGGATCGGTCTGGCTTGCTGCGAAAATTTACAATAATTCTGAATTGCTTGCGCGGTGTGCACGATAAATTCGGGCGGCGAAAGAACGCGCAGGGTAATATTTTATTTATGTGAGAGAATTCGCCGAGGATGAAGCAGAAGCAGTAGCGGAGGAAAATAATACAAAATAAAATTCGCGCGTGCAACTTCCATCAATCTTTGCGGAATTATTTCATGTACATTCGTCGGGTCGTAAAATAAATTTCACACACACGGCAATAAATAAAAATTTCCTGGCGTTTAAAAAAAATGGATATTTTTAATAAATATCTCATAAAAGTCGAGTGAAAATTTTCAATTTTTTACAATTTTATAAGAATTATTTATCATTTTTCTCCTTCTTTTCCGTCACCTGTCCGTTTTTGACAGACTCTTTCTTTTTTCACTTGTACGGAGTTGCATTATTATTTTTATCCAGCCTGCAAATGACGTGCTGCAATTGCAGAGCCATTGTGTCGGTTCGGCCGCGCGGTGTAATTTCATTTCGCACACCGTTTTCATGCACTGCTCTCGACGTGCACAGAACAAACCCAGACAAATTGGACGTAAAAATAAATCTGTGTGCTCGGAACAACAGCGCCAGTTAATTGAAACTGCGCTCGGCAAAATGCAAAAAGCCGCACACATGCAAAATCGCACAATGCCGGCCGCGTTTGAATAATTGGATAAGTAGCCAGAGTGTTTTTCCGCACATCAAGTGAAGAATTGAATTGGAGATAAAAAGGAATTCAATTAGAGCGTGAAAAGATTCAATGAAATCAACCATTTGAAAAATCTCTGAAACGTACAATAAAATGGATACGAAAGTATAGGACATAAAAATGTGAATTATGTCTTACGGAACGATGATGGTTTTGTTTATAGTGAAAAATTTGGCCATTTTACTAATATTCCTGAAGATTCTTAATTTTTTCCATTGAATTCGATCATAGTTGTAACATTTAAACCTCAAATGTTTAAAAGAAAACACGATAAAACATCTTTTTTTTTATAAATTTTGATCTAAAACAGTGGAAGTATTTTCATTATTAAAAGTTAATCTTAATTGATGATGAAATCTAAAGAAGGTTTATTTTTATCAGATTAGTAGGAAGCGGAATATCCGGGCATGCTTTTTCAATTGCGTACAAGTCAGTTTGATAAGTGAATGCGACTTGCATTATTTTTATGTTAATTTTTTATATAAACTGTTGAAAATTTTGATGTTTTTTCACACTTTTGTTTTGCAGAATCCAGATCTCATAAATAAATTGGATCCTTATTATACGAATAAACAATTCATATTAAATTATTTCCAATTTAAACTTTTAATAATTGAATATTTCTCTACTTTCAATTACACAGTATTGTGTCATTTTTTTTATTCCTCATTTTTTTTAAAACTCCACAAATGCTGGTAAGCAAATTGCAAGTAAATTCTCATCTCATTTTCAGACGGATTTTCATTTCAGCGAGAATTTCCTGCTGCCAGTTCAGCATTTTATACGAAATGAGCTCATTTTTCTCTTTGAGCTGCTGACGGACCCACTCCAAGTCCTGCGAGTTTTGCGTTTTTCTCACGTTTATCTACATAATATTTTATACAAGCATTTTTTTTTTAACACAAGCACTCGGATTCCGGCGTCCAATTTACCCCATCACGGACGAAGCGCCAGAGAGTAAATCGTGCCACACACATACAGCATTTTTTTTTTTTTACTCTAACGACCTGCTTCATTAAAAAAGCGGCAGTCACTCTGCCGGTGGGAAACACGGTTCATTTAAAATTTAAATTCAAAATTTTAAATATGATTTTTAATTCGAGTCAACTTACCATTCAGTAAGAATGAAAAAATCCAGTCTGCACGCGGATTTCACTCGCGGGTGCCGACATGCTCGGGATCAACTATACAAGAAGCACTGCACCGAATTTTAAGGATATTTTGCACAAAACAGTCCAATCCGAACTGGCGAAAGTAAAATAAGAATCCTCTTGCCGACCGGTCAGTTCAGCAAACACACATGAAGTCGGCGAGAGCACTCGGATAAAAACACTACTCGCCCCGCGAAAGGCTCCTCTCGAACTGAACGCTCAACTCGGAGTCAGCAGGAGCACTGCCGAGCAAGCAAAAACACTCCAAACGAATAGAAAACCACAAGGCTCACTTTGCCATGTTAAAAGATAGGAAAATGAGCCTTATGGAGGGGCGACTGCAGCGCCAGCGCAGACGCCGACGGAATCGGAGCGGATTCCCCTTCGTGCCCTCTCTTTTCTTTCTCTCTCTCCATCGGTCGTCAGGCAAAGACTGGAAATTTATCCAGCCGGGAGAAATGCGAAAAAAATCGTACATAATAAAATTTTACAACTGTCTGCGCTGTTTTTTTATATATATATTTTTATTTCCGAGCTCTCTCGCTAGTGAGCCTAGTTCGGACCGGCGCATTATTAGATGCCACCCACGTATATAAACATCAGCCGCCTTCGCTTTGGGGGATTTTTTGTTGCATAATTCCATCTTTATGGCCGGCTGGAAGCACCGAGGGTGCAACTGATAGTCCCATTTATTATTAGCCGACTGGAATGGGAGAAAAAGTGGCTGCGCTGCCCGGCCATCGAGGGAGGCGGGAATGCTTTCTTAAAATCGGCGTTAAGTTTAAAGTGCTGCTTTGCTTTTACGATTTTCTGAGCTACAAAGATTATATTCAATTTTGTTACGCGACATTAAACTCTTAATAAGCTAAATCACTTTAAATTTTAATGTTGTTTTTGAACCGTCCCTTCGCCCCACCCAGGGTTTTTACATTTATGAAGGACAATAAAAAAAAATGTAATGCCAAGACTTATATTAAAGTTATTCTCTCTTGGCTTTGTTCAAATCAAAGTGTTTAAAAGTTTTTCTCAACCTTCATTTGAGTTCATCTGCATTTAAAAATCTTTTTGTAGACTTTCTAAGACTTTGTTTTTGTCTAAAATATAAAAAATTATTTGGAACTGTGACTTGAATAGATCCATATTAATATAATGTTTAATTTGAACATTTTATATTTTTTAATTGCTTTTTAATGATCTCAATAATTTGTATTTTAAGATCGAGTAATTTTAATTCCTTGATGATAAGAATTTTAAGCACAAATAAAAATTAAAAAAATGCTCACCAGCATGAAGACTTTTTCATTGTTGATTCATCTCAAAACTCGGCATTTTTTCCTGAAACATAACAAAACAAAATATTGTGAAATAAACACATTTAAATCCTTTTTTCATCTCCCTCAAACACACATTTTTTTTTATCATTTTTACTTCAAATATTTAAACTCAACAAATTACAATTTTCCTTCAGCCGAGTCCCAAGATAATTGGCACCCCTTTCCTTTTATTTCCCATCAACATGTGCGTTTTTATTATATTTTTAAAAACAAACACAATTTAGTCATCCGCTGCAGCAGAGAGGCCTGATCCTGAGAGATCCCAGGCGTTTTTTCCTCGAGAAAGGATGTTCCGTGTCTCCTGCGAGCCCGAGATAAAATCGCAGACGCATACATATTTAGTGCTGATGGCGTATAAATGTAGCTGGGCCGTTTTAACAAAAACCAGCATTGCTCCATCTCGGCGTCTGCTGAGGAAAAGAAAAGCAGCAGAGAGATAGCTGTGCAAAGGCCTTCCTCGGATATAGTTATAAAAATAATTTATTACCGAAAATAGAGAGCAAAGGTTGAGCAACACAAAACGCGTCTCTCGCGACTCGAGCATTCCTCTTCACGAGGCCAAATGGGGCGTGATGGGTTGGGGAAAATAATCTCCAACCCCCTAAAAGCCTCTTATATGTATGACGGAATTAAATCTGAAAAGAAAATAAATAAATCAAAAAGAATTAAAAATTAGTAAAAAAGATCTTTTAAAATTCGTAAATTAAGAAGCATTTAAGCCGTTTTGTCCAACAATTAAATGTTTGCATTGATTACTTTTCAACTATGCAAACAAATTTGTAACAATGGGACAATATTAAAACCAAATTAAAATATTTTAAAAACAAAGATTGTTTCCTTATAATATAATTTTTTAAAGATATTTTTATGAAGTCTGGATCTTTTCTCTTGAAATAGTATTCGAGATTACGTTTTTATTTTAATTAACTATAAACTTGTTTTACATTATATTTTTAAATTCGTTTACCAAACCCGAGATGAACACCATCTCCAAAAAGCAGCATAGTGTGCACTCTGATGCTCCCGACGTGATAAAACCAAATTATAAATTTATGTCTCAAGAGGCCGCGTCCAAAAAGTTCTAAAGTTCTCTCCACGCTTATATAAGAAAGCAAAACCACCGCCACGCATTTAACCGCAGAGCTTCACTTACTTCGACGCCATTTCATCCGGCAGCACTACTTGGTATTACCGCATGTGTGAGTGCATTTTGCTTAAGAATATTATAACACACATTAAATTAATTCCAGCGCCTCCCCGAGTGCAAGAAAGTTTCCAGATTATCATGTTAAAAGGAACAACCATAGCAAAAGGGCGAATTAGGAATTACGATTATTGCCTTTTTGTTTCGCACGCTCAACTGCGCTAGATAATGCAAGTTGGCTCTTTCTTCTCACACAAAATGATATGATGCATGAAATAACGAGTACGTACTCGTGTAAGTGAGCTTGTTATCGCGTAAAACGACAGGTTAATGGTCTCTGGGAAATCTCACATTACGCTGCTGCTGGTTGCATAAGAAGTGCAAACATTTGCACTTAACTTGCAGAAAACACCATCGATCGCTGTATTGTTTCATGACTAAAAGCAGAATTGTTTCTGAAAGTTTCATCATACGATAAGGTTATGCATCACAAAGATGGCATATAGAAAAATATTTCAATTTTAATTATTTTCATAGCAGTTTTAAGTAAAATAAAATTTATTAAATTATTTTACAAATACCAACTCTCAATCAGATTAAATAATAACTATAATCTTTTGATAATAATAAAATAAATTTAATTTTAGGCAGATTTTTACAATACACTTGGGGAAAAAAGGCAAATATTTTGACTGAATATTAAATGGCGCTAAAATATTTGTATAACAAGTAGGAGATAATTATTTCAATAATTTGTATTTTTAAGCTGTTGATAGCTGAAAATTTTTAAAATATTATAGAACGAATTTGCTGAAAATCGGTATTTTAGGCAATTTTTCCAAATTTGCATGGTGATAAATGTTAAAGTATAGGTGAAATTTGTTTTGTTAGTTACTCCAAAGTGAGAAATGGTAAATTATTCCATCCAATAAGGTGATTATCGAGCCTCAATTTTATCTTCATGTTTGAATTATGACAGAGATCGATCATTTTAACAAAAATAATGAACTTTGTAAAATAAAATTAAACTGTACACATAAGAGTATCAAAACTTTTGTAAGTATTTAAGCAAATATAATACATACAATTGAGGGATTAATGATGATATTGAGCCTACATTTTGAATAGTAGGCCCAATATTGAGCCTGAATAATGTTGAAACAATGCTTATTTTAACGATACTAATGGTCAAAGAAATATCCGAGAAAGGTTTTTTGTTTTGTTGCAATTGGCCAAAATTTAAAAATAGTGCTCGTCTTTTAAGGACTTCTTATTGATATAGTCAAATCAAGTCTTTACAACAATGGTTTGTTAAATTTACAATAATTGCCAAAAATTGCTTCTATTGTTGTAAAGACTTGATTTGACTATATGAATAAGGAGTAAGGAGTCCTTAATAAACAGCTGATTTGGTTATAGCACGATTTTAATGTTCACGTGGGTTAAGAAATATGAATTGGGGATTATTATTGAAGGCGGGATTAAAAAAATATTTAGCCCGGAACAGCGGGATAAAATTTATCCCTCTGGATTTATCCCCGATAACGTTTAAGCCAGGACAAGTAATTCAATAGCGCCTAAAGTATTTACAAATTTTTATTTTTAATTTGAATAATTTTGTAGTTATCTTGTAAAACAGAAATACCAATTTCTAATTAATAGATTTCCAAATAAATTTTCCACGTTTTGAGCAGAATTACAATTATTTTTGTAATAATCAAGTGCTTTTTCTTCAAATATTCATTTAATATCGTAACGCATCAACTAGCTTCTGCTGAGCATTGCTTAATTTCTGGACGTGGAAAATAAGTTGTGAAACAAAATAAAAAACGCAACGAAATGAATTACACGCAATAAAAATTAGCAAGAATTCAAGAGGGAGTGCGCACCTCATGAACAATTTCACTTGGCTGCGCGACCAAATGAATTATCATACCTTATTGCTCACGTACATTTAGCGCGGGCATTGCTATAAATGGAATGCCGGAGCTGTTTAATATTATACGGCGGGTCGGCCCGTGGTGCAAAAAATTAAACAAAACGATTTCACTTGACTTCGTCCTTGCCCGGCTTATAATGTACAATATATAAAACACATGTCATGTCAGCACTCCATTACAAAAGTCGGGCCAACCTTAACTTTTCGACTTTTTGGCGTGGACCGTCGCGCAGAGGACTCGTTTTCCCTTGGCGCGTTGTCCGAATAAATTTTTTCTCCACGAGATGCGCCGCGTTTGATAAATGGTGGATTTTTTGCACGTGTCTACGGATGACATCGCTACAAATTTCAGCAACCTTGGCTCTAACTCGGCGCTGTCTATCAACATCTGACTAATTGGAGGCAAATAATAAATAAAACCGGCGGCAAAGGCGGCGGCATTCCTTCACCACACCTTCGCATTTTCGATTTTCTCTTTCTTTCGAATATAAATACATTCGTGCAATTAAAATTTTTCACTCACTTAGCACGTTTTCTGTACATCGGCTTTACGTATTATTTGCACGTACCGTAAGAGCAGGCATCTCTATATAAGCCTGACCTCGGCGTTGTGTGCAGGTTTATTATTTGCTCTCGCTCGCACTTTTTGCCAAGTCGTGCTTCGAGATTTCGCTGCAGATTAAAAGAGGCACTGCGATCTTGTGTTTATATGTATTATGGCCGCCGCCGCCGATGCTTTTGGTCTCTTTGAAACTTGAGGAATTCTCGCAGTTGGCTTTATTTTATCTCTTTCCACTCC